TTGAAATCACACTGACGGGGCTGCCTCAGGCTTGCAGTGCTGCATCCTAATCCATTGCCACCAGGGAGGGCCCAACAAATCTTTCTACCCATTTTATCTTCAGGGAACTTCTTGGGAGAGTGACATCCTTACTCCCCCCAGATATTCCCTTCTTCATGTTGGGTCAGCTCTTACTTTTTCCCTCCGACATCAGAGCTTCCAGGAAACGTTGCCTACCTGACTCCAGCCCCACTCTGCTCTCACCGCTCCCCACACATATTGGGGGCGGGGGTCGTCTCCCAGGTCTGCTGGAGGTCCTCTGGGCTCTCCTTCCCTTCCTCTGCTATTGATCCACTTATATGGGAAGATTCCCAATTTACCTCCTTGCAACCAGTCCTCTTGGTGAATCACTTTAATCCTGTTACTCCCAGTTCAAGAATCTGCGCTGACTCGCTGGTGCCTGCTGAGTCAAGTTCAAACTCTTCCTTTGGGTACATTAATTACATAAAAGTTAAAGATTTCTCTTCAGTGAGCTAGGTAAAGTTAAGAGACAAGTGACAAAATAGGACAGTATTTTTGCAAGTTCTAAAATCACAAAGGACAGAATCTTCCAGGATCTCATGCCAATCAACATCCAAAAGGCATTGGTCTAACAAACAAATCATATGAAAAAATATACTTGTGTGTGTGTGTGTGTTTGCAGAAATGCTAAACCCTCTAGTGATCAGAGAAATGACCAGCAATTAAACAACAATGAGATAATACCTGGATAATGTCCTTCGCTGGGGACGTAGGGACCTCCTGGCCGTCTGTGCATGGGTGCAGACATTGTGGAGAAAAATATGACAAAATTTAGTCAAACTAAGTGACGTAATATACCATAAAACCTTGCAAACCCATATAACTATACAACCCAAAGTGATTTTCACCAGATTTTATACAGGGGGTCCCTGAACACACCCACTCTGTGTGGCGGCGTGTGTCCTTCTGGGAGGACGGAGATGCCAGCTGTGGGGACACCGTGGGAAACCACACAGCACTTATTAAGGCGACTCTGTTCATGGAGTGACCGGGTGGTTTTATTTATTTTAAAAAATTTATTTTTCTTCACTTATGCATACAAGAACTGGGGTGCAGGCTGGAGGTGTAGTGCAGTAAGAGATTCCCTGGAGGCCGGGTGGGGAGCAGGACAGGCAGATCTACTGAAATGCACAGCTGAGGGGAGCAGCGGGCTCAGGAGAGGTCTGCTGCGCCATGTGGGTCAGCTCCCTGGCTGGGGATTGAACTTACGCTGCAGTGGCTTCAGATAGCTTCACAGTGCTGTGTCTTTAATCTCAAGCCACCAGGGAGGCCCTGGCTTTAAAACCATCATGCTGGGGAAAAGAATTCTCCATAGGGAACGTACAAGATAATGCTAATAATGTGTAATCACACCCCCTGGTTGTTTGATGATGGGTTGCATGGTAATAACACCAAGGTGCTATAGTTAGTTTTGTTGGGTGTGACGATGGCACTGCAATAAGGTAAGAAAACGTGGACCATGGCGCAGCAGACCACACCTGACCCACCTGTCGCTCCCTCAGCAGTGTGTTTCAGTCAGTTCACCTGTTCTGCTCCCCACTGTCTCCAGTCGATCCTCTCACCCGCCTCCCCCATACCTCTAGCCTACACTCCTGTTTTTCTACGAAAAATAAAAAAGAGAAAAAAATGTCCAGTGGGGTGTGAGGGGACATGCACAGCTGAAACATACGCATGAAGAGGATTATGTTCAGGATTTTAAATGATTTTGTTCAGCAAAGGGGAAAAAGAGAACAATGAAAGAAATTTACTTTAGGCAAAGATTTAAGTGAGATTTCAAGGCAAAATCTTTTTCTGTTAAAGATTTATTTATGCAGGCAAAACCGGGGTACAGGCCAGAGGTGCTGGGGGTGACTCACCAGAGACAGAGTGAGGAGCAGGACAGGCAGATGGACTGAAATGCCCTGCTGAGGGGAGCAGCGGGCAGTCCGCTGTGCCATGTGGACCAGCTCCCTGGCTGGGAAACGAACTGGTGCTACAGCGGCTGAGACAGCTTCACAGTGCTGCGCTTTAACCTGTTGGACCGCCAGGGAGGGCCCGCATAAATACATCCTAAAAAAAAAAATCTTTTCATAATAAAATTTAAAATAATACCATGTTTGCAAGAACAAGTTCAGATGCACGTTCAACAGATGAGTGGCTCCTATGGGAGTGGGGAAGAAATAGGGAATGAGGACAGAAAAGAAGGGGGCGAGCAGCAGAGAATCGCCAGCAGAGAATCGCTGCTCCCGCTGAAGGCATGATTAACCTAACCCTCTGCTCCTAAAGTCCCAGCGGAGGGGGGATCTGATCGTGCCTCTACCCCTGTGGCATTTCCATTCCTTCCGTCCAAGCCCGAACCCTCATTCCTGTGCTGTGTTTGTCTGTGAGGCTGTCACCAGGACAGTTACATCACTCTCTGCCTTACTTAAGAAACAGGAATGAACTTTCACTCACTAAATGCCAGCACTGGGCTTGGGCCTGTAGGTATATGATGTCAAACGATCGTCTCCGTGAAGTGTGATTACCTCCAGTGGGGAAAACTGAACCCAGCGATGGGCATCTTTGTCCAGTTCCTACTAAACCACAAAGCTAAAATCCCAAACACCTTGGCCTCCAAGATCCAGGATCGCGTGGTCACACTGAACCGAGCGGAAGGCTCATCCACAGCTTTATCACGGAGGCCTCTACGGGATCACCGGAGGTGCTGCGGATTCTGTGACTTGTTACCTTCTTATTTCTGATATTTGGGTTCTCATTCATTTTTTAAAAAAGATTTGTTTATGCATACCAGATGTGGGGTACAGGCCAGAGTTGGGGGGGGTGAGAGGATTCAGAGACAGAGCAGGGCAGTAAACGGCAGCGATTGTGAGGGTGTGTGTAGGTGGGCAGGGAATGCTGGATGGGGGCAGAAGCAGAATCCTGAGGGCGTGGCTGGGGGCAGGAGATGCAAAGTGAGCCAGGGCTCAGCGGGGAAGGAGAAGCCGGCCTTCCGCAGGCCCTCCTTGCCCTAGCGCCCTCCCACTCTGGGGGTCAGGTCCTGGCCAGCCCGAGGGATCCGGCTGAGGTCTGAGGAAGCTGCTGCGGACGAGAGGCGGGTGGCTGGCACTGCCCTCTCTGGAGCCACGTTAGCTCTCTGGCCCGTGATGGCTGCCCTGGCCAGCGGGAGGGGGTCAACCAGGGATAGGCAGCAAGTAAATATAGACACAGGGAAGGAATCCAGGCAGCCAGGCCCGCACTGACCTCTCGCTGGAGGACTGGGGGGGGGGGTGCGGAGGCACTACGTCCTGGCGGCCTTCTCTCCAGGGTGGGCCACACCTGGCCCAGCAGCCCCCCGGCTGGGCACGGGGGCAGAGGCTCCAGGGGGACAAAGATGTGGGCGAGCAAAAGCTGGAAGAGAAGCTGCTCTTCTGGCACCAGAGACAAGTCATGTTCCCCCCACCCCACCTCCGCCACCCAGTTTTCCTCCCTGGGGGTCCCCTCCCAGGTGCTGCCAGCTTGAGTTGGTAGTAAGCGGCTGATGAGGGGATGTGGGGTCCACGAGTTCAGAGTGGGGGGCAAGGCCCCTTCGCAGCCCCTTCATGCCCCCCTTACCTTGCTTGGGTCTCGCTGGTGCCCGAGGAAGGCAGTCCCGAGTGTCAACTTGTCTTCCCAGCTGCCACAAGCTGACCTCTCCAGCTCAGCGCACCCCAGCCTGGCTCTCCTGCCCTCCCTCCCAGGCCCACACTTCCCATGTCCCCCCTGTTCCCCCTTGGAGCCCCAACTCCAGGAAGGGGACCCAGCAGGCACTTGCTCCACCACAGACACGTTTATTGGCAAATTGGAGTCCCAAGCATCAAGGGGAAGCGCGTGAACAGTGTGGGCAACATGTTCCCACTTTTCTTGCTGGTGTCCAGGGAGCGGGGCGGGGTGGGGGGCGGGCAGGCCCTTCCGCGCCAGAGTGACTATCTAGCAGCTAACATTTACTGAGCTCTTCCTCCAAGGCCGGAGGCCGGGCCCTGTGCGAAGCACTATCGCATGGCGTCCTTATCCAGCCCTACGAGGTAGGTGCCATCGTGGTTCCCATTTTGCAGATGAGGAAACTGAGGCTGAGGGGTGAAGGGGTGAGGAGGCAGCTGTCCATTCAGGATGTGTCGGGGAGCCTTCTCTCAGGGCCACAGGCGCCTCTCTTTTCTGTCTTCCCTGATTCTCAGTTTCAACTCTCTCTCGCCACTTCTAGGTCCTTCAACTCTTTTTATATTTTTGTTTTGTAAAAAAATAGATTTTGTCCATATTCTACAGCCCCCATTATCTCCCACACCATTTGGTTAAATCTGGATTCTCCCCAAGATTCAGTTTGGTTGGGGTTGGGACACTGGGTCTCTAAAGGGGGGCATATATATGTGTGTGAAGCCAAAATATATTGAAAGCTCTTAGAAAATACACAATAAATTACAAATACCCCCCACTCCCTCTGCCCCCCCTCCTCCCCACTCCCCTCCCACAGTCTAAAACAGAGTGTAAGTTGGTTGCCCCCTACACCCCTCCCCAGGCAGGGTCTGGTCTGTCACCTGTGTCCACAGGATCCAGGGCTTCAGTTAATGTTTGTGAGTGAATGAATGAGTGAGTGAGTGAGTGAGTGAATGAATGAATGAGTGAGTGAGTGAATGAATGAGTGAGTAAATGAATGAGTGAATGAATGAGCGAGTGAATGAATGAGCGAGTGAATGAATGAATGAATGAGTGAATGAATGAGTGAGTGAACGAATGAGTGAGTGAGCGAGCGAGTGCGGCATGGATGAAGGAGCACCACCTGGAGTCCTGAGTCCCAGCCTTGGTCATGCCTTCACCTGCCTGTCACCTGTCTCACCAGGACATTTCTCTCTGCCCCCAGAGAAGGGGGCCCGGGGCAGGAGGTGGGCGCAGAGAGGGAGGGCGGAGTGGCCAGGGGCTGCCGCCTCCTGAGGTGGTGCTGGGAGGTCGTGTGGAGTCAGGAGACTGGTCTGAAGCCCAGGGCGGGGCTCGGGAGCTGCGTGGCAGGTGCAGATGAGTGACGCCGACTGCACTGTGGCCTTTCAGGGTTTACAAACCCCTTTTCACATTTATCCGAGGTCCTCAGCCACCGTGCTGGACCCGCTGTCATCACCAGTGGACCTGCTTTACAGCAGGGGGCGAGGGGCTGCCCGCGGCCACACAGCTTGCAGGGGCTGGAGCGCCCCCACGTCACCCTCACTGCTGCTCCGTATGTGCCACAGGAGTTGGGCCCAGGTCTATGTTCTCCAGCACAGGGTTTCCTCAGTGTGGCAGCAGGAGGGACTGCATAGCAGACCCCCTAAAGTGGCCATTCTACCCATTGGGGAAGATTTCCCAGACACCCCTGTATCCCCTCCCCACAGCCTCCGGGCCTCAGCTGCTGCCCCAGGAGGAGTCTGGGAAGCCGGGAGGTGTCCGTGAACTTCAGGTTTTCCTGGGGGAGTGTGGAAGGGGGTGGCGGAGGGGGCCCTGGCCCCTCCCCTCAGACAGGCATGGGCACCTCATCATATTCGTCCTGTCCGTCTTCCTCGTCGAAGGTGGCCTTGGCGTCGTCAGCGTCCAGCTGGAGGGGTGGGGGAAGGAGGAGGGTGAGCAGCGCCCCCCACCCCAGGGAGACCACCCTGGGGCAGCGCAGCACCTGCCTCTGCATCTCCCACAGGACCTATCCTAACCTAACCCTACCCCTGCGTCCCTGGTGGTTACCGAAGGGTGAGTTGCCCCTGGGGACCGGGGGCCCTGAAGAGAGCCCCGCAGGGTCCTGTGTCCTGGAGAAGCCACTGTCCAAAATGGTCTGCTGGCCCATGGCCGCCGCAGTGCACAGACACACCCCGAGTGCCCCTAAGCCTCCAACACCCAGGGGAGCACCTTCGCAGGGGAGCAGGCCCGGAGGCACCGAGAAATGAGGCCACTTGCTGGCCATCAGACCAGGTGGACCCAGGATTTGATGTGTGCAGGTGCCTGACCAGGACGTCACCATGTCCCTCCGCCCCCGGTAGCCCGAGACCCGCCTCGCGCCCTGCCCGCCCTCGGCCGCCCCTCCCCTCCCCGCTCTGGGGGTCCGGCCTCTGCCCCTGCCCCCTCCGCACCCCGCAGGTCCTGAGGTGGGGCCAGGGAGAGGCGGCCACTCACACACTGGAGCTCCAGGTTCCTGAAGATGAGGGGCAGCAGCAGGCGGCGCAGCGGCACGGTGAGGATGAGGATGAAGGGCAGGGCCAGCGAGGTGGTGGGGCTGGACTTGGCCGCCCACAGCACCGCCAGGCAGACGATCTGGATGGCCGTGAACATGTGCATGCGCCAGGTCTTCACCTGCGGGCGAGCCGGGCGTCACTGCCTGCCCGCGCGTGGCCCGCCCGCCCCCTGGGCCCAGGGAGGTACCCGCTTGACGTAGGGCACATCTGGGTGGTGCTTGGGCGGCTTGAGCAGAAGCAAGATGCGGTCGAAGAGCTGGATGCCGCTGAGGGAGGTGACCCCCATGTAGAGAAAGATGCCAAACAGCACAGCCAGGGGGATGCGGGACAGGATGGGTCCCATGAGGATGGACAGGCCTGTGGGACAGCCACACTGTCAGCCCCAGGAGCCCCACGAGGGGCTCCATGGGCACCATGTGGGTGCTCTTAGTCGGTATCATCCTCATTTTAGAGATGAGGAAACAGGCCCCCAGCGGTGACCACACGTGTGGTCAGTGATGGAACAGGGATTCAAACACCTGCCTGCCTGCCTCCAACACCTGCTCCTTTCCCGGAGAGGGGTCGCAGAGGGCAGAGAAGGTCGCTCGGCTCAGCCCAAATGCCTCCCTCCCCCTCCACCAACCCCAATCCTAATGCGTCTCCGGAGCCTCCCCCGGCCTCTCCAGCAGGGACCTGGTGCTGTCCACACCAAACTCAGCTGGACTCTTCCAGAACTGTGACCCTCTGGCTTCCCCAAACCCAGATTATGCCTGTAGCACTGTAATTTGTACAGCTGAGGTCGAGCAATTCCAGCATCTATGAACCCCCTAAAGGTGCAGATAGGGAAACATGAGGTACATGCAGTCAACGGCACAAGGCCGGAGCCCAGAGTTCACTGAGCTTCTGTGGGATAAACTCTGATGCAGGGTCTTGCCTTGAGGCCTCCGTGGCAGAGCAGACCCTCCCCTCTCACAGCCCATCCGAGCCCGGGCATTTATTTCCTCCAGGATTCTCTCCTGTGATTAAATGATGCTGGAAAGATGTGGGCAGAAGTGGGGTGGTCCAGCTGCCAGATGGGCAGGGCTGTAGGTGGCACTGGATCCTAACGGACCCCAAGGGGCAGGGCTGGGGCCAGGGCAGGGCCAGAGTGTTGTGGACAGTGCGACCAGCCCTCACTTACCCACGAGCACGGAGACCAGGAGGCCGCTGATCCTCTGTTCCTTGACCTCCTGGATCTGGGCTGCGGCCCCTGGGGTGCTGGCCTTGCCCATGACCGTGAGGGCATTGGCATGGGTGACAGACCGCACAGTGGTGGCACTGAGCCAGGGCATGCCAAAGAGGGCAGCTATCCCGCCCATGCCCATGACCAGCAACAGGTCCAGGTGGAAGCCGGAGCCCTTGACCATCTTGCGCTCCGGTTTGCTGACAATCAGCCTGAGGGGTGGGGTGGGGGCTTGGTAAGGAGGGCTCTCCCCCGACACCCATAGTGCCCCTTGCTCCCTTTCCCATACCTGGGGCCCTCTGTACCTCGGTTTGTCCTCCTCTGCCCTCTCCTTGATGTCCCTTGCTTCCCTCCCTCCTGCCCTATCTTGAACCCAGCTGGATTAGCTTCCAAGAGCAGAAGTGTCTCAGACCCTCCTAGAGCGTCCACAGACAGATCCACCCAGAAGCTACCGGAACAGGTTGCAGGGTACCTTCCTGGAGGTGGCGCCTTCCAAGACCAGCACCTAAACTTTTTAGCTCTCATTTAGTCTTTTTTTTGACTAGGGCTCCCCGGACGATGTATGCTCTGGTCCCACAAAGCCAGAACTTCCGCCACCCACCTGTCCACCATTCCTGCCCTGCCCTCCTGGAACCTGGCCCTCTCCCTGCCTCAGACCCTCCAGCCCCCGCCCCACGCCGGCCCTTACGTGGTGATCTGGGACTCGAGGAAGATGAGAATGAAGACGAGCAGGGCGGGCAGGGCCGAGGCAAACATCATCCAGATGGGGAACGGGGTGTACAAGCCCAGGGGGTGAATGACCCAGCCCCGGGCCGAGGGGTTGGACACAGTGAGGCCTTCGGGCACGCTGAGTTTCTGCAGAGGGGGAGAGGGTGAGAACACCTGGGAAGGGAGATGGGGGCAGAGGGGGTGGGGGTCCCACGCCCTAGGATCTCGGGAACCTGCTTACACTGAGCACCTGGTCTGTACCCAGTCACTGAACACGGCCCTTTGGGTCCCTCTTCTCATTCCCAGCTTTATAGATGAGGAAACGAGATCAGAGAGGCTGTGTAGTTTGCTCAGTGTCACACAGCCGTTTGACGGCAGAACTGCTGAGTTTCTTTCCTATCACCCCAAGTTAGGGAGTAAAGGACAATATGGTCCAGGTCGTTGCTTAAGCCAGAGGGTCCAGCAGGATTATGGAAGAACCTGGGCCCCCCCAGGGAGGCAGGGATGGCTTCAGAGTAGATTTAGCGGACTCCAGGTTTGAGAAAGCTGTTCTGGGGAGGCTGCATGCTGGGGAAATGAAGTGGGGGGGCAGGGAGAGGGAGGAGGATACCTGCGTGTATGTGTCCTGGATGAAGGAGTCCACCACAACCATGATGAGGATGGAGATGGGAACCCCAAAGTCCCCGATGACACGTCGCAGCTGGGGGCAGTGGGGGGACCAGTGTCAGGCCCAGTTGCCCCCCGCCTCCCGCCTCCCCCATGCCTCCGCTCCTGCCCTGTTTCCGCCTGGGGGCCCGGCTCCATCCATGGGATCCGTCAGCATCTCAAGCTCTGTCCTGCACGTAGTGCACCTTCCCCCTCCTCCTTCCTGTGGGCCGCCTCAACTCCAGCCCCACACTCCCTTCTCCACTCCCTTCTAAGAACTATCCCTGGCTGCCCTCTGGGTTCTCCAAAGACACATGCAGGGCAGGGAGGGGCTAGCCTGAATCGTGGAGCCCTGGGTAAGGGGAGGGGGGCCAGGGAGGCTTGGAATTGGCAGTGGGACTCCAGGTAAGAAGGGCGGGTAGGGGCCGGCACTGGAGGTGGGAGGCTGCTGCTCAGAATGGGCTGGCGCTGCAGGAGCGGGCTGGGAGGAGTCCTGACCTTGCCGGGAAAGTAGGAGCTGTTCTTGAACTTGCGCAGCGTCATCGCTAAGAAGAAGGTCCCGGCCATGAGCACAAGGGAGAGCAGAGCCGTGTTGGGCAGGGGGGACTGGGGCTTGGGTATGACTGTGACATTGTGCTCGTAATGTTTTTGCAGCGGGTGGTCCTGGAAGATCTGCAGCAAAAAACAAGGAGTCGTGCGTCCTGTTGTCTGTCCCCACCCAGCCATCCACACACCTGTCCCGTCTGCCCGTCATCTGCTCAGCGGCCTCTCCACCCATCGTTCACTCACCCTTCCGCCCGCCCATCTGTCTGTCCACCCGCCCACCCACCTATCCATCCTCCCATCCATCTTCTTTAACTGACATGGAAACAGAGGGGCTCTGATTCTATAACTTGTTTTTCAGGACGACCTGGCCAGGCATGTGGGTGGGCGACGGAGGCTATGGGTACACGTGTACATGCGAGTGAGTGCCCAGGAGGCAGGAGGAGGCTGGAGGGTCGGATGCAAGGGCCGAGGGGGCTTCTCACGAGGGTTTAAAGACTTGGAAATAGAAACAGCGACCAGCCCGCAACATGAGGGCAAACAGGTCTCTCCTCGCCCCATGTAAAGTGAAGTGCAGGCCTGGTTACAGCTGACCGAGCTGTAAGGACACTCCGTGGTCCTTGAAGGGAGGAGGGGTCTCCAGAGCCCCCAGAGCCCCAGCCCCCCACCATGCATTCAGGTGCCCACTTCAGTCTCACACATACCTATTGCCACTCGTCATGTGGCCGTAAATACAGGCCTGAGCACAAGCACACGGAGGTGCCCTTGCGTGCAGTGTGGTGAGAATACCAGGCCACAGACAGCAGGGGTCCGTACGGACGTGGCTGCAGTCACATACCGTGAGCCACGCCGAGGCCACGCAGACTCGGGCGTGATGACACACGCTCACGCCGTGTGAGCGCTTTCGCCTGGACTCCCACAGTTCCCCACCTTGATCAGCTTGGTGAAGGTCTCAAAGATGAAGATGAGGGAGATGAGGAAGGAGAAGATTTCCTGGGTGTAGCGGGAGATGAAGCGGACCAGGAAGCTGCCCTCAAAGGCCACCACCAGCACCACCAGCAGGATGAGCCAGAAGCCGATCCACACGCGGCCCACGATGTACTCCAGTTTGTTACTCTCGCAGAACTGCAGGTGGCCAGAGGGAGCGGGGTCAGACGCATGGGCCAGAGTGCGGGCGCTGGGCAGGCAGGGCCTGGGCCGGCTACGGCCCAGTGGAGCCAGAAGGGTTACCGAAAAGAAGGCTTCCTCAAACACGAGCAGGGGCCCCGAGAAGCCGACCACGAGGAGGGGCTGTGCCCCCAGCAGGGAGAAGAGAATGCCCTGCACGGCGGTGGAGATGAGCAGCTCCGACACCCCCATCAGGTTCCGGGTCTTCTCTCCTGTGGGTAGAGGAGGCGGGACGGGGGCAAGTTCGGGAGACCATTTCCAGGTCATTTCACCAGCTGACAGACAGGGAGGTGGGGTGTCAGGCCGGGTCAGAGGTGCGGGCTGCGGCAGGGGACTGACCCAGGAGGCCGCCGAAGGTGATGGCCGGCGACAGGGCAGCAAAGTAGATGAAGATGACGGCAGCCAGGACCTGGGGGCTGAGTGCGTCCGTGATGTCACTCAAATAGCGGGGGTAACGGCGCCGGATGTCACGTACCAGGCCCCCAAAGAGATTGCCTGTCCGCTGCAGAGGGTCATCTGGGCCACCGGGGACCCCTGGACCCCCATTCAAGTCTGCAGTGAAGGACGAGCACATGGTCACCAGGGGTGACAGGGAGAGGTGTGGAGAAAGGGGAGCAGGGGTAGTGCCTGATGGGGATGAGTGGCCAGGGCAGCGGGGAGTCGGGCTGTGGGGGCTCAGGGAACCTGGGCAGGGCAGCTACCTAGACCCTTGTAGAAGCTAGGGTCGGGCTTGGCGGGGCTGGGCAGGTAGCGTCTCCGCAGCAGCTCCCGCTGCACGGGCACCAGGCTGAGCAGGGCTTGCTCGGAGGGGGCGTCCGTGGGAGGCAGCACCAGACTGCAGTCCAGGAAGCCCTCCAGGGACTGCACCAGCTCTCCCCTGCTCTGGGCCAGGTAGGCCTCCGTGCGGAACACCTGGGGACGGGAGAGAGGCTCAGAGACCTGGACTGAGTCCTGCCCGGGAGAAGCCAGGGTCACTTAGCCTCTTTCTGCCAGGAACAGATTTGCCTCCTTTCTGCACCCCCAACTATGAAAGAGCTCTGGGGCAGCAGATGGGGCTCCAGCGAGCTGGGGGGGGGATGGGGGGGCGGAAGAGGACTGCAGCAGAGCAGGCGTGGGGGAGCTGGAGCCGACCTGGCCAGACCAGGTCAGGCTGGCCGGAGCAGGATTCAGATGGCGCAGACGGGGCCAGGGCAGACGGGGCAGGGCGAAGGCAGAGGACACCGGCCAGGCCACCGCTGGCCGGACAGACACAGCTGGATTAGCGCTGGATTAGCCTGAATGGCCGAACCAGAGTTACACAGGCCCCTGCAGGCTGGAGCTGGACCCCCCGCCCCGTGCAGCCTGGAGCTGGGCCCCGCCCTCGCCAGCCCTCCTCACCCTCTCTGACATGAGGGTGGCAGCCGCCCGCCCCAGCTGGGTGTAGTTGGTGCTGGGTCTCTCGGGCCCCAGCACCACGAGGAGGAAGCGCACAGGCACCGGCAGCTCCAGGGCCTCCAGCTCCATGGCCTCCCGCAGCCTCACGAAGCCCAGCACCGGGCGCTCCAGGAAGGCGGCGCGGCCTGCGGGGGGACGAGGACAGTGGTCAGGCCCGGCCGAGCGGGCGCTGTTGGGTCCAGGGTTAGGGAAACATAGGCTGAGCCGGGGCTGGAGGTCAAAGCAGGGGGCGAGAAGGGGGGCGCTGGCCTCTCACCCACTAGTATCAGGGTGGCCTCTGAATCCGGGGGGATCTTCTCCAGAATTCCAGATGGTGAGCACCCTTCTGTGCCCCCCTCTCCCTGTAGGAAGGACGGTGAAAGGGGACTCCCCAACATCTGGACCCGAGTGCCTGAGCTTCCCCTCCCCTCCCCATTCTCATTTGCCCCTGTGTTCACCCCAGGACATCCTCACCTGTTCACAGAAGAGCTGTGTCTCCAGCGAAGGGGCTTGGGGGAGCAGAGGCTGTGAGGGCTCCCCAGAACGCATCAGGACCGCGGGCTTCACGCTCCCCAGGGCCCCGAGGTCTCCGGCGTGGCTACGGGACACAGGGCGCAGCTGAGCCGCCACCCCGGAGCAGAGGGGAGCCGCGCGGGGGAGGAGCCCGTGGGGACCAGGCTAGAGAGACCCTGGAGAGCCAGCCTCCCAGGATGATCTGGACGCAAGCGCTGGTTTCTGTCTGGGGGGCTGGGTGGAGCCCCAGGAATGGGTGGCGGGAATGGGTCCCTCCTCCACGGTGTCAGCCTCAGGGGCCATCATGGAAGAAGCCTGGGCCCTGGCCTGGAGGTGGGAGCCGCCCCGGCCCGCAGGGAGACCTTGAGGCTGGGCTGGGGGGCCCACTGGGGGGGGCACCGGCCTGGCAGGCAGGCACCTGTGTTTGAGCAGCAGGACCCGCAGCAGCTCATCTCGATCCTGGGGCCGGATCTGCTCCTCGTAGATGAACGTGTCCAGCAGCTGGTTGGCCACCCCGGCCAGGGAGGTCTCCGGCAGGTCCAGCAGGACAGAACCTATGAGCAGCGGAGGGTGAGCTCCGTGGCTGCCCACGGCCCGCCTCCGCCCGCCAAGCCTCAGGGGCGGCGTCGCAGAGGGACCGGCAGGGCTCACCCTTGGCAAAGGCTCTCTGTAGCTCCAGGAGGCTCCAGAAGGTGAGGTAGGACAGGTGCGGGCGGCCCCAGGCCCCGCTCTCCCCCAGGTTCTCCTCCAGCCGCACCCAGCGTGCTGCCTCCATCCAGCACAGCTCCAGGTTCTTCTCATCCATCACCAGCTCCTGTAGCTCCACATAGAGCTGCAGCCCAACAGGCCTGAGTTAGTCGCTGGGGTCCCGGGAGGCCATGGGGAGGCTGGGCCCCCAGGCCTGGCGGGCACTCAGCAGGCCCTGCGAGGTCCGTGACGGGGGCCCAGGCCCTGAGAGGTCTCTGACCTGGGCCGGTGGGGTGCGGTGGGGGTTGGGCCGCAGGTCTGAGCCCAGAAGGTCACAGCCTTTCTGGAGTGCTGTGTGAGGCGAGAAGGGGGTACTCCCAAGGGTGCAGCCCATGCCTCTTACGCTACCCCCCAACTTCCTGACCAGGCCCCTCACCCCGGAATCCCAGACCAAAGAGCATGTAGGAGGGAAGGAGAGGGAATCCTTGGGGTCACTGGGTCAGTATCCTGCCTCTAAGATCGGTGAGTGGCCATAGATGTGCTTGGGGTTCTATGGGGCCAGGTGACTCCTCCCGGGCCTAGCTGAGGGACCCAGTTTCCTCACCAGCTTGGTGATCTGGTGTCCAGCGGGGTCATGGGGGACCGGAGCAAATAAGTGTTTCATTTTGTACTTCCCTAGAGAGCACCCAACCAGGGCCAGAGGGCTGGGGGGCTCGGAGCTCCAGCAGTCAGTTCCTCTCCATCCGGGGGCCCCTGCAGCTCACTGGGGGGGGAGGTGTGCTTCTCCCTTCTATTGCCCCATCCTTAGCCTGTTTGTGGGACTCCCCCACCCTGTTGGCTGTCTGCTCTTCTCTGGTATAAGAGTGGGTGTCAAGGGCAGCATGGGAGATATTGGGGGCAGTGTCCTCACCTCGTGGGTGCCCGAGTGTGATGTAGTTTGATAGTCTGTGGCTGTTGACTCGGTGGGATGAGCTGAAACCCAGATGCCAGTTAGTGTGGCCCCAGACATCCCTGCCCCGAGGCCCCCGAACCACCCGCCACCAGCCTTGAGCCTTGAGAGCAGCCCCAGCCTGGCACCCCCGCGCCCCCCTACCCCGGGCTGCGGGCCCCCATGCCTGTTCTCCCCATCTGTGCACTGGGCGTGGCCCTGGGACGCACCCTCAGGGCGGTGGGGAGGGTCCTCGCTGACCGAGTCCTGACGCAGTCCTCTGGCCTACGCCAGGGTCCCCCGCCACCTGCCGGCAGTGCCTTCCTTAACCCCACCTGCCGCAAAGTCCTGCCGGCCCAGCAGCTGCTCACAGCCTCCAAGCTGAGCTCTGGGTGCCAGGGTGGGGTGCCCCTTATATCTGCCCCCCACCCTCTCACCCCTCATTTCCCAGAGGGGCCTCTTATCTTTAGTACCAATTGCCAGCACTTATGCCCTGTTGACAGTAAACAGGTGCTGGCCTGGGGCTGCCAACTAAGACCTTGGACAAGCCCTGGAAGGTTTCCTGATGTCTCTGCCCTGGGGGGGTCCACAGCCACCTTCCTCAGGGTCCCTGACCCCCAACACACAACAGCATTCCTGGAAGTGGACCAAGGCCGGGCCTCGAGGCCGGTGCTGGCTAGGCGGAGGCCTGTGGCCGTGCCCTTGACCATGGGCCACTGCCCTCTCTCCAGTCTAAGGGGCGCTGTGCCGGGTGACTGACCCCACCTCCACCCCCAGTCACCTCCTGTGATCATTTCAAACAAAACTGTTTATCCTTCAATCAACCAGGACTGTGGGAGAACTGGCCCTGGGCTGGGGCAGGGGCTCGGGGTGCTATGGAGAAGGCCAAGCTCCCCACTGTACCTGTCTGGGACCCAGCAGCTGGTCCAGCAGAGAGGGGAAGAGGGGGCTCACCTTCTGGCTCCTCCATCTGGGGCACAGGTGCTCCTGGGTCTTCATATTCCTCCTGTTCTAGAATCTCCTCCAGCCCCTCCTCGTAATCCTCCTGCAGAAAGAGGCCATTAGGGCTGGGCTGTGAGGGTTTGCCTTGGGCCCCCAGGAGTCCAGGGCCCCTTGCCCAGAGTCCCCAGGTAGGAGGCCTGCAGTCCCCAAAGGACTCACCTGCGAATCCCCCATGGCGCGGTGTGGATGTGACTGTCGGCTGTCAGCCCCTCCAGCATAACCCACGGCGGCCCCTGCAGGGAGGGCACAGGCTGAGCAAGGCCCAGGGCGCCTGGGGCGCTCTGGTCCCCTCCCAGAGGGTCTGCCTCTGGGTGAAGGGGGGCCGTGTCCTGGGACACAGGGGGTCAGAGGAAAGAGGTGGTTGGGGGCTTGAAGGGGCTGGGTTTGCAGGTGTGGGGCGGGCACAGGAGTTTGGCATCAGAGGGTGCTTCAAGAGGGTGAGGGCGTGTCCTGCAACTCCAGCTCCTTCCTCCCTCCTCCTGTCCTCCCCTAACTTCCCTGTCTCCCCCAGGGCTCAGCCAACCCCAGGGGCAGGGCCATTCCCTCTTCAGGGAGCTCAGCTTCCCGGACCCCACAATACCCTCCGTTCCAGGAACGCTGCTCTCTGCTGGGTTCGGGGCTGTGCTCTTGGGTCTGGGGTGATGTGGTACCCTGTCTCGCCACCCCAACTCCACCTCTAGGGCTCGCTCCCACCTATCCCCCAGGAAATTAAGGACAAGCCTGGAAGTCAGGGGCCCAGGGGTGGCCCCACCCAGGGTGTGCCATGACTTCCATCTCCCTGTCCTCACTGCAGCACAGGACTTTTGGTGACGGGGTTTGGGTCAGGTTGACACACCTGCCCACTCTTCCTGGCATGGGGCTGAGGGTGGGACACCGAGAGGAACAGACACGGTCCCCGTCCTCCAGAAACGCCCTGTTCAGGGGACGAGAGTCCCAGGGGAGCTCAGATGTGAGGAGTAGGTGCACCGGGCTGGGCTGTCTGCAGGAGCCAGAGTGGGGCTCCACCGGGCACTGGCCGGGGCTGGGAGGGGCCTGAAGGGCGGTGGGGCGGGTGGCCAGGCTGGCCTGGGTCCGAGGCAGGCAAAGGTAGCGGCAGGACTGAGCAAGACAAGGCCGAGCCTGAGGGAGGCGAGAGCGCAGGCAGGGAACCTAGAGGCCTTTCTTCCCCAAGAACGGGTGGCCCTGAAGCCCTTGGAGCTTGGGGGGACAAGACCGAGCCCCAACAAGCTGGGGAGCTGGGGCTCTAGCCTTGGAGCGGTGGTGAGACACCGAAGCCCACAGAGGGCCCCAAAGCCTGCGTCCACTGCTCAGGACGCATCCCTCGAGGGCCTGGGCAAGCACCGTTTTTTCTCCTTGTCTCCTGGCCCCGACTCCCCTTCCTCTGCTCCCATCTTTATCCTCTTTTTCCTTCCTGGCCCTGCTGCTCCCAGGTCTCAGCTCTCAGATTCCTGGCGGTCTCAGGGAGTCCAGCATTAGGTGCCACGGTCCCAACGTGTGACTTCAACTGTGACCTCAGTTTCCCACTTGAGAAGTGGGCTGCTGGGAGGGCCCGAGCCAGACCCCCAGGCTGCATCTCTGCACTGCCTGCCGCAGCCCCAGCCTCCGCCACTCCTCCCGCAAGGGCCTCCCGCCAGGGTCCTGCGGCACCAGTGAGAGGACACGGCGCCCAGAGGTGCCCTGTGCTCAGCTGGGTCCTCCTGCGTAACGCCTGGTCCCAGATTGCTTCCCTGCAGGCCCAGCACCCCCAGCTGTAGCCTCTGCTCTGCCGGGCGCTGATAAGAGCCGGGTCCCCATTGCTGCCCTGTGCCTGGAACTGTACCAAACACCTGCGGGCCGGCCAGGGCAAGGCCAGATAAGGGGGGCAGGCATCTGGAGCCAGCACAGCTGGGAGCAGAGCACAGCTGGGAAGAGGCTGGGGTGATGTGGGGAGGGCTCCCGCTGGCCCAGCACCTCCTTTTCAGTCAGCCTGTCCTGCACAGAGCTGTACTGACCTATCTCTTGGACCCCCACGCCACTCTGCAAAGCGGGTCAAGACAGGCCCACTTTTCCATACGGGGAGATTCCCCGCTTCGGTCCCCAAGTAGGCAGGTGTTGTGGGCAGGGGTAAACCCAGCTACATCTCTCCCACTAAGCCCAGTTGCCTCCCGGGAAAGGAAACTGTAATTAGTTGGGTGAGAGTAGGTGGCTCAGAGACGGACTGGGCCCTCCCTGGTGGCAGCACTAGGAAGCTACCTGCAGCCGCTGCAGCACGAGTTCAATTCCCTGCCCTGGAGCTGACCACGTGGCGTGGCGGACCCCATCTTACCCGCCGCTGCTCCCCTCAGCAGTGTACTTCGTCGATCTGCCTGTTCTGCTCCCCACTCTGTCTCTGGTGAAGCCTCTCACCCCCTGTAACTCCCACACCTCTGGCCTGTACCCCAGTTCTGTATGCATAAAAAAATCTTTAAAGAAAAAAAGACAGAGAGATGGACTCCGTAGCCAGACAGCCTGGTTCAAAGCCCACTTATTCCCTGCGTGGCCTGGGTGACCTTGAGCAAGTGACTGCCTGTGTCTCAGTTCTCTCCCCTGTAGAGCAGGGTGACGAGAAAAGCTGCCTGTGGCCCACTGGAGCGCTGAGTTCCTACCTGTGCGACCAGAACACCGAGGCCGGGTCAGTGCTTGCTGCCACGGGGGCAGCTCAGACTTGCTTTCTTCACTCCCTGGCTCCCTCCCTTCCCTCCCAGTTAGCTCTCAGTCCTCCAGGGCTGAGGACACTTCCCCTGGGCTGGGGACAGCACCAGGTCACCTGTAGACTCCCTGGAAGTGTCCCAAATGGACTGACAGTTTTTCTCTTTGGTGGGAGACAGGTGGTCTGGGGACCCCCGTCCTGGTGGGAAAGAGAAGGCTAGAGCTGAGATCTAAGTCTGGGGGTCTGAAGGCCTGGTGAAAAGAACCTGACAAGGACCCACACCGGGAGGGGATCAGATTGCCCCCCAGCGCCCTCCACACACACTTCTGTGCCACGTGGCCTCTTCGCAGACGCTGGCCGCCGCTCTCCCAGCCCAGTGCCCAGGGCCCGAGCCCTTAGGGGTAACAGCACATTGCACCGTTCTCACCCCACCCACCTGCGCCCCCTTGGAGGTAGGGTGGCTATGCCTAGCTGGGCAGATCCAGGCCAGGCACCCGCAGAAACCCTCAGGACAGATGTGCAGGGCCTCCCCAGCCCCTCCCGCCCTACTCACCTGCTCACAAGCCTGGGGTCCCCCGAAGACCTTCTGCAGCGGTGGTGCCCTCTGTGACCGGCTGAGCTCACACCAGCTCTGACAGCACCAGGTCCTGGTGCTACGCCCCGGGGCAGCTCACAAACCCCTGACTCATGCCCCCGCCTCCTAATCTGCCCGCCCCATGGGCCCTGCGCCCCTTTTCACTCACCCCCCCCCGCCACGCTCCTGCTGGGTGCCCAGTAAACAGAATTATCTCCCACCTACATCTGGACAGCTGTGATCTGACCCACCCCACCCTGGGTAGCCAGCCCTGAGGTCTTCTTGGCTCTCCTGGACCCTGGGGTTCTCCTGGGTCTCCCTTTGTGGACTAGGGGTGATGGCTGGGTTCTTGGAGCTCCCAGCATTTCTGGCCCAGACTCTGATGCCCGAGTCCCTCTTCTGTCCATCTCAGTCCGGCCAGGTGTCCGCTCTGGCCGCAAGATGCCCGCACAGTCTCCTCCCTCCTCTGGGGTGTCCTCCCTCAGACTCAAGCTCCCTCGGCTGCCTTGCCCACAGGGGCCTGCCTGATGCTCCCAGGACCCAGGCACCCTCCTCCTCTTTATGCCCCAGACTCAGGCGCCCCAGCCACCCTCTCCCCAAGCCCCCGACTGGCTCCGAAGGGCTGGCCCTGGGCGCTAAGACGCTGCTGCTCAGTCAACCTGAAACAATGTCAGGTCAACAAAAACAACTGTCCCGGCTCCAGCTCACAAAGCCCCAATGTCTGGGTACACAGGCTTCTCTGTGGGGAGCCCGGCCCAGGCCCCCGGGCCAGAGCACCCGCATTCTCACATTCTCGGCCTCCACCCTGCCCCCCCACCTCCCCAGCAGGGTGGCTCTGCTCTTGGGGGCGGCTGAAGCCAGCCTGGGCTCTGGTTGCCAAAGAGCCAGAGACTGAAAGATGTGACCCACTGGGCAGGAAGAAGAGGGGCCAAGTGCAGACAGGAAGGGGTGCTGCAGCGACTGCTCTGGGCTTGGGGAGCTGGTGCTGGGGTACCCCAGCAGGCACCTGCACCCTCCCCGCCCAAGGGCTTCAGTGTCCTTATCTGTGTAGTGGAAGCCCCATTCTGTGGCTGCCAGCTGGAAGGGGTCCCCCACTTCAGTCTTAAACCCAGAGATAAGGACGCATGTGACTTCACAGCTGTTGCCTGGGGGCACCAGCCCTGGCCCAGAGAGGAAAGGGCACCTGGGTCAGGGCCAGCATGCTCCGGTTGGGGGGGCTTCTGTCCCGGCACACGGCCTCATTACCCTTCCCACGTGCCCATCTTGTGAGGAGGTAACGAGGGCTCCGGTAGAAGAAAGAAGAAGACGGCCACACCTGCGTGCAGGCGCTGAGCAGCCCCTGCGCTGTCTGAGCACTCCGAGCCCCGCGAGGGGGCGCTGCTCCGCTGGCACCCCCTCTCCCCATGAGGGCTGGGGGGGGCGGGGGTGCTCACCCCAGCGCTGATGGAGCCTGGCCCGGTGCCTGGCCCTGGCCAGCTGCCTTATGCTAAGCACCCTGCTCCCGCCTGCCCCTCTCAGCTCCCAGGCCCGCCGGGGTGCCTCCTCCCGCGCCAGGGTTGGCGGGATCCGTCCGAAACCCCAGCTCGGACTGGACTGTTTCCTGTGGCCTGTGCAGCAAATGCCCAATCCGAGGTCCTGCCTTCCTGCCGCAGCCCAGACGGAGGGGGCACCCAGCCCCAGGAGCCGGGGGCAGCCCCGTGCAGGAGGCAGCGGGGGAGCACCTCCCGGGGCCAAGAGAGGACTGACAGCTGACTTGGGGGCGAGAGGAGGATGACGAGTGACAGCACCTGGCTTGGCAGCAGCAGGTGCTGTGCCAAGGCCGCTCGGGGGCCCAGCCCCCTGGCAGCCCACCAGACAGCCAGGCCACGGCGGCCCAGACCGACATCTGGTCCTTCCTGCTCAGACCGCGTGTTCTAGGTCATTCGGGCTGCCCTGGTGGAGTGTGGACGCTTCCCCAAATCTACCCGACATCATGTTGACGTGCTGTTGCTTTCTGGGAAGAAGCGACCGTTCCTCTTATTCTGTGCCAATTTGGACTTGGGCCATACTGATTCACCTGCAGGCTCAGTCACGCCTGGCACAGGACAGGAGAGCCAGGCCTCCCCTTAGCCCTGTCCCTGAGCTGGGCACTGATGCTAGGAAAGTCTGGTGCTTAGGAGAATTGGCCGAACTTGGCCAGGGCCCTGCTCCCTGCCCGTCGTCCTTCTCTCTCGCTGCCTTTTCCTAGAGCACTAAGGAGACCTGGGCCAGGCTGGCCTCCCCCGGGCCCCGGCCCTGTGTCCAGAGAGGAGCCAAGGCCAGGTGCCGGCAAGAGCCCCAGGCCTGCCGAGGCCCATCCTGGAAGGTGGTCTGCTTGGCGCTCCGCCCTCCCCGACGGCTTCCACACCGCCTGGGCCACGGGAGCTGGCTGTCCCCGAGGACAAGCTGTGTGAGGAAGCAGACGTCTCCCCAAGAGGCAAAGAGGCTCTCTCACCCCGAGATGTGGCTGGTTCTCGGGGAGGCGGGAGGGTTTCTATCTCTCTCTCTGGACCCAAAGAAACAAGCGGCAACTCCAGCTGGACGTGGAGTCGGTGGCCACTGTGTGACCTGACTTTGCCGTGAACTTGGCGATGAAGTGTTGATGCAGCTCAGGCCTGTGAGGCTGAAGCAAGACCATCTCCAGGTCTCACACCCACGCTTCTGTGGCCAGTGGGGTGGGGCGTCCTCAGGGCAGGGCTGGGGGCTCACTTTCCACCAGACCCTTCTCGGCTTCGGGGCTTTTGACCGCTGTTCCCTTCCGGACCTAACTGCCACCCTCAGCTTTCGCTCTCGCAGGCCTGCTGGGGTTTCAGGATTTGCCCCAGCAGACCCAGGGGTTCAGCCCTGAGCCCACTTATCACGGCCTATCGGTGGCCCCGGATCTCTCTCCATAGACCGTGAGCCCCAAGACGGGAACCACCACTCAGTCCCTCCAGCCCAGCCAGAGTCGGCCACTGTGGCCTGTTTCTGTGTGCTGCTTGACTGATGGATCAGTAAGGAAATCTGCCCCTCACCCCAGTGCCAAAGGCACAGACAGTATTTGAAAGCGACAAGCGACACACGGAGAGTCTCAGCCACGTCCTGAACACGAACAAGCCTCAGGACCACCCCCGGCCTCAGCTTCTCCCACTGGGCTCCGCACCCCGATCCGCGCTCCAGGCTCTCTTCTCCCTCACCCTGTTCCAGCCGCGGCCGTCCTAGCACTCCACCCTCCTCTCCCCATGGCCACGGACCCTCTTGCTCCTCAGCACCCGGAGCCTCACCCGGCCCCCTGGCCCGCCTGAGCCCCCCTGCAGTGCGGGTGCCACCGGCCGGCCTTCGTGATGCACACGTGACACCCACCCCGTCGTCGGGCTCCCCGCCTGCTGCTCACCCACTTTCTGCTCTGCTGAGGTGCTGCCCCGCCCCTGCCTGCCTGGAGGTGTCTCCCCAGCCCCTCAGGCCTGGCTCCTTCCACTTTCAGGCCTCAGGTCAGACATTACCTCCTGTGAGGGGCCTGCCACACCACCCAGTGAGAGCGCCCGGCCACTGCCTCACTGAAGGTCAGGGTGGGCGGTGCGTGGAAGAAAGCCCCAGATCTCGGTGGCTTAGCCAAGGCAGGCGTTTATTTCTTACTGGTGACATCGAACTGGTCCATCTCCGAGCTCTAGGGTTCTCCGCAGGGTGAGGCACTTTCTGTCCTGAGTCTTTAGCAACAGGTGGCTTTCTCTTCATGACTCCCTGAGGCTGCTGGAGCTCCAGCCATCACCTCTGCATTCCAACCAGCAGGATGGAGGAGCAGAGAAAGAAATATGCGCCTCAACCTGAAGGACATTTCCCGAGTGTTACTTCTCCTGGTGCCCCATTAGTCAGGACTAAGCCACATGGCAACACCTAGCTCCAAGGGAGCCTGGGAGATGAGTCTTCATGCTGGGATGTCCCGGACCCTGTGCTATGCTTCACAGGAAGAGGAGCACTATGGAAGTGAGAGGACACCCAGTTCTCTTGTAACAGGTACAGGTTTCATGGACTCCGCCCCCACTCCAGATGTTGGAACTCCAAATCCCATCAGTACCAAGGAGAAGCACGCTGGGCCGTGAGGGCGGAGCTGAGCCGCCAGGTTGGGATAAAACCGGACATGTGGGCTCTGGGGGGCTCTGGGCCTGGTGGTTCGCAGCTGATCGTTTTGGCTCTCAGTTGGTTTTCAGCGGCCGGTGGAGTCCAAGTCAGCAGAACTGGTAGGACATCCTAGTTAACCTGTGTTTCTCTCCCTCTTTCCCTGGGTTATTCCTTTACCTTTCTCCTTATAAATGAATCCATTATTTAACCTTTGAGTGTGTCCATAATACGATTGAATCGTAAGCACACGGGTGAAGACCCACAGACAGGCAATCCAATTCACATTGGGGTGCCCTATAACACTCTCAGCCACAGTCATCACTGCTGAAGTCTTTTCTTTTTCCTACCAGCTGATAGTCCCAGTTTCACCATTTGTTTGCCGTCATCTCTTTCTGTTAGAGTGCAAACTCCTGGAGGGCAAGATCTTTGCCAGCTTGTGCACCGCACTGTCTCCAGAGCCTGGCACACTGCCTGGCACAAGGCCTCTCTGAATTGTTACTGACTGACTGATTGACTCCCACAATGATTATTTGATGAACGTATTCTGGAAACCAAGGTGCAGGTCGTCTTGCCCACGGTCACCCTGTGGACCAAGGGGCCAAGACCAGACCTACCCTCACGGGGCAGGAGGCCATTCTAGGTCAATCCTCACAATAACTGGAGAAAACAGGGCACAGAGAAGTGAAGTAACTTGCCAGAGGCCACACAGCCCAGGAGCTGGGGTGTCAGAACAGAATTTGCAAGGAGGCGGACAGGGTCCAAAACTTGGGATGGGCACAGGGAGGGAAAACCCTTAAGGAAATGACTCTTCTGGGTCAGTGAGAGTTGGAGGTCAGACCAGCAGGGACTCCGACGGGCGGGGCGGGGCGGCAGTAGACCGGAAACCACGGCCCACTGGAC